GGGCCAAGGAAAGGGACAGAATTGCAGGAGCAGCTGGTTGGATGGTTTAAGTTGTTGTCACAGATGATGAGAAGGGTGAGGAGAGCAGTTTAAAAAGACCTTGTACAGCAGGGGGAGGTGATGGCCGAGTGGCATTATTGCTATACTGTTAATCCAGAGACCCAGATAACATTCTGGGGATGGGTTCGAATCCCGCCATGGCAGATGGGGGAATTTGAATTCAATAAAATATCTGGAATTAAGAATCTAATGATGACCATAAATCCATTACGATTGTTGGGGAAAAAACCCATCTGGTTCACTAATGTTCTTTAGGGAAGGAAACTACCATCCTTACCTGGGTCTGGCCTACATGTGACTCCAGACCCACAGCAATGTGGTTGAATCTTAACTGCCCTCTGGGCAATAAATGCTTCCTAGCCAGCAATGCCCTTGTCCTGTGAATGAATAAAGGAAAAAAAACAAGAAACTGGGCATTATCTTTGCAGTCCAGAAGGATCCTGAGAATAGTGACCAATTCTGGCAGATGAGGGCAAGATCCAGAACTGACAGTGAATGATTCAATTAGTTGCCTACCATCTGTGTTTAACTCTGCATTCATTAGATCTAAAGGAGTGGAGATGAGGGACACATCAAGGGGATTGGTCAGAGTGGTTTAAATAGGGGCTAGTGCAAATATTGATGTGAATACAGTATGGAGTTGAGCAGATTAGTAGCTGAAGAAGTGTGTGGTGAATGGAGTTAGCAGTTAGATAGTTGGGATTTTGAGCATGTAGTTGTAAGCGATTTGGGAAAGAGATTTTTCCAGGACAGACACTGGAAAGAGTCAGGTTGGTGAAGAGAAGGACATGGATAGACAATGATCAGGCAGGTTACCTTTTACCTTCCTCACCATAATGAGAGTTACTAGGCAAGTCCAGATGGCAATGCCCATAGGATGGTCATGAATAAAGATGGAGCAGTTTACATGCAGGAAGAAGATGCAAATTGGGGGATGGTGAGCTCAGAGGAGATAGTATAAAACATTGAGTTGGAGGTTGAAATCACTGAGGATGAGAGGTCAGTTGGCACAGAGGCTCAGATGAAAGAAGTTATCACAGTTAGAAAGTTAGCACAGTCTATAGGTTGGCAGTGGAGAGAAAGGAGTGTAAATGAGGGTTGAGATGGACAGACCAAGGTGAGATTTGGTAACAAGAGTAGGGGTGGGAGGGCAGAGGTGAATGGTGTAGCCAGGAGGAGAGATTTCTTTGAGGGATCATGTAATCCCCATCTCGGTCAGATCCCCATCAGGACCAGGTTGTTGATGTAATCTTCCACAATCATTCACACATCGAAACAGCAAATTTAGCAGCAAAGAAGATACTATTAGCAGAGCTGAGTAAAACATTCTCTAACCACTTGTTAAACTCCTTCCTTACGCCTACCGCAATCCCCCGCTTCCCAAGCCAAGTTTTATTTTCATTGGGAGACTTGTGGGAAAGTTGTTTAATGGCAAGGAGTTTGGGGGAGTGGGGGTGGGGGAGTGGGTGGGTAGTGGGATCAGGGTTGAGCTAATGTAGTGTACCTTGAACTGGCACCCCCAATGTTTGAATTCCCTCACCCTCCCCACTGTGAACACACAAGCTACAACACCTGTATCCAAAGTATTGGAACAGAACTCTTTGTGGCCCCATTAGACATTAGGGGTGCCTTAGTGTCTTCCTCCAACATGAAAAAATATCCATTAACAAACAGAGCGTAAATTGCTGATGGATACTTTTCAGGCTGGCAGAAGGTTTGAAGTGAGGCTCCCCAGGAGTTAGTCCTGAGTTCCATGCATTTCCTGTTAGATATTAATAATCTAGATCTTGATGCGCAGGGAACAAATTCAAACATTGTTGGTGACACAAACCTCGAAGTCCCATCATCTTTGAGTAGAAACTCAAAGGTACGTTGACAAGGTTGCTGGAGAAGGCAGACAGGTTGACAGATGATGTTCAATGCAAAGGGAGTGCATTTTGGTGGGAGGAGTGTGGAGGAACAATGTAAAACAAAAGGTAGAATTCTAAAAGTGGTGCAGGAACATAGGGACCTAGGTATATGCATATACATATCATTGAAGGTATTAGGACAAGTGGAGAGAGCAATTAGTAAAATCTTCAGTACCCTGAGCTTTAGTAATAGCGACATAGAGTACAAGAGCAGGGAGGTAATGGTGGACCTGTATAAACCACTTGTTAGACCTCAGCTGCAGCATTGTGTGTTGTTCTCAGTGCCACACTTCAGGTAGGAAAGGAATAGAGAGAGAGTGCAGGAACAGTTTGAGAAAATCATTCCAAAGGTGATGCATAAAAACAGATGTTACTGGAAATGCTCAGCAGGTCTGGCAGCATCTGTGAAGAAAAATCAGAGTAAACGGTTTGGATCCGGTGACCTTTCCTCAGTTATCAGTGACTTCCAATGATGAGGGCACTTCATTTTGGAGGATTGTTTGGAGAGTTTGGGTCTAGAGAACAGAAGGCGAAGAAAAAAATCTGATAGAAGCATGTTCTTCCCTAAGGACAGAGTAAATCATAGAATCATAGAATTTCTACAGTGCAGAAACAGGCCAGTCAGCCTATTGAGTCCACAGCAACCCTCCAAACAGCATCCCACCTGAATGCACCTCCCTACGCTATCCCTATAACCCTACATTTCCCAAGGATAATCTAGGTTGCTTACACATTCCTGGACACTATACGCAATTTAGCATGGCCAATCTACCTAAACTGCACATCTTTGGACTGTGGGAGGAAAACAGAGCACTCAAAGGAAATCCTCGCAGACACGGGTAGAACATGCAAACTCTACACAGATAGTTGCCCGAGGCTGGGATTGAGCCTAGGTCCCTGGTGTGGTGAGTCAGCAGTGCTAACCATTGAGCCACCATGCCAAGAAACTGTTTCTGCTTATAAAGGTTCAAGAACAATATGGCACATATTTAAAGTGCTTTGCAAAAGAAGCAAATGCAAAGACCAAACAAAAATGATCTCTCAGCTAGTGAGTGATTAGTCTGGAATGCACTTGCCTGTAAGTGTGGTAGAGGCAGGTTCAACTAAGGTATTCTCAACAGCATTAGCTGAATATTTATTGAGTATCAATTTGCGCAGTGATGAGGAAAAAGCAGGGGAATGGCACTCAGTGACGATGCTCACTCAGAGAGACAGGCAGATAAAATTTCTCTGAATAGCCTTCTTCTGCACTGTAACAACTCTGTGATTCTATGTTTGAATCTTCTGTTTTGAAATTTGCAGCAAGTGCTTAAGATAGCATATTCATGGCAAGTTCTGACCTGGTAATCTGCAGGTCACTTTCCTAATGTAAATTTCACAAATTCGGAGAGTTCTCATTCATCTCGAGTCGGATCGCTGTGGGGATGCTCCGGTGTCCAAGGTGCTGAGATCCCAACGAGATGTTAAACCAAGGTCCTGCCAATGCTTTTGGACCAAACTGTACTGTAAGAAGAACAGGAGAGTTCCCCACAGTGTGTTCTGCAGTCAATACTTATTATGAACGTCATTATAACAGATTACCTTCGTCTCAATGCTACGTTGTGAGTTAAGTTCACATGCACCTGTCAGTTCCTGACTGACTACAAAATTGATACTTTTTATCTGTATTATTCATTACTGTACTTGGCTAAACATTTGTAATGTCACCACATTCAATGCAATGGACCAAGTGCTGGAAAGTACGATGGCTGTAGATTCAGAGTAGTTATTTTGTCAGTGCAAACTTTTTGGGCCAAAGGGCCTCTTCAGAAAATTCAATGAAGCTATGATTCTCCCTGGCCAAGGGCTACATGCAGCCTGCATTTGTCTTTCAGCTGGGCCATCTGTCAGTATCCCAGCCTGGATTTTGCACCTTAGTGTAATGATGAACTGGCATCCTAGGTTAGAAGTTCCAAATTATGGGTCATGACCTGAGAAGCAGTTGGGATCATGGATTCCTCATTCTCTGAGGCAGTCGTGCTGTTTGCTAAGTGGGGACTTCAGTGGGGCAACCCTAGGATTGGCTCCAAGTCCTCACACATAAATGTGTCAATGTTTATTTGTTTTTTCCCACAGTTCAGAGGAGCTGGCTGCAGGAATGAACTCTGGGCCCCCAACGGTGCTGCCATCTATAGCTCTGCAGGAGGTGAAAAGAAATCTTTTGCAAAGATACAAAATAATTCAGGATTAATATACAAGGCTTTAATTCTTTACTGGCTGCAAAATCGTTTTAGCAAGTGTTTTGGACTGCACATCAAAGGGTTTGCTTTTGAGCTCTTTCATAAAGTTGTGACTGACATTACTCTCAATTGTGAGGTTAGTTCACTCTGAGATATAAAGCTTGACAGGGAAAAAAAAACTGTCAGATCCAATTCCATTCCCTCATAATAAATTCCTTCTCAGTTCATCACACAGCAGATTGGCACGAGTCATGGTGAAATTCGTTATGGTACCTGTCATGCACTTTCAATAGCATGAGTGTGTTTGACAGGGGGAGATACCCTGAGGTCCAAGAGGGGAGAATGTTGAGGAGGGTACTTTGTGCTCATTAGGCATCAATCTTTTTCTTAATTGTAGAGGTCGTGCCCAAATCAAAAATCAATATTATTAACACAAACACCTAAATCTACTCCATTGCTTCTTTTATTGAAGTAAATGTGATTTAATTCAAGTTAAGAACACCTTTGAGTTGTATAATAAAAACTGACACTCTTACTGGAGAGCATAAACATCTGCAGTGTTCAGAGTTCTTTGAGGCACTTCAGTTAAGGTTACAGAAAAACCTGCAGCTTTTTGTTTTCCTTATCACTTACAATTGCATGGCCAAAACATTTCAAAGACACTGCACGAGCCAGCTTCTCTCCAATTTCACAACGATCAAATCTTTGTGGTACCTAATAAAACTATCTCACAGTAAAACAACAGTTGACAGAGCAAGTAACAATGGCAGCCATTCTTTTTTTTAAAAAGAAAGACAAAAGTCATCTTGTCCTCAAATTTGCCAGACTTCAAATTTACTGTCGTTCTGTATTATTTTGTTGGCTGTTAATTTTCTCTGGGGAATAAAGATCTGCGAGTTTTTTAAAGCGAGGTCCCCAGTTAGTGAGGTAATCGTAATCCTGATCTGTGTCTGTGGGAACTGATTCCAAGGAGCTGAGCGATTCAGCTATGGAGCAGTTTCCTTCATAGGCATATGTCACCAGGGAATCATAAGGGGGTGCACTGGGATCTGCATCATTCTCCTGCACTCTCTGATTGATGAAGTCTTTGATGTCAGTATTGTTTTGGATTATGATGGTCTGCCGCTGTGGATGGTGGGTGTCGGGCTTGACATCTCTGCGTAATTGCACATCTTCTATCAAGTCCGGTTTCCTCAGGGTGCTGATGTCAAAGGCCTGGGTGTCCTCCTCACCACCTCCTTCATCGTCATAACTGATTACGTTGTCTCTGATGTCTTCTTTCGATGTCATGCAGATCTCCTTTTTCCTTTGCCTTCTTAACGCCACAAACAGCACCACGATCACTACGAAAATTGGAGCAAATTTAAAAATACATTTTAGCTTTGTTTTAAACATCAAAATATTCTGATCAGAAAAGCTAAACTTTGTAACTGAATTAACATTTTAACTCTGAGATCAAAAAATTTCTTGTTAAGCAAGGACATTAAGGGATACATGGAGTTAGGCCACAGATCAACTATGATCTCATTGAATGGCAGAACAAGATTCCTGCTCATACGTTCCTATCTAGCGCATGCAAATACAACCCAGAAGTTGTTAGCATTTTATGGGGTACAATTACATTTGAAAACCAGATGAAGCAATTGAAAGAGCTAGGGTTAAAATTAAATGGGATTTCATCAGGATTGAAACACTTAGAAAAGTTGAAGTGATTAAATTGTGTCTGTCAGCCTAAATATTTGGCAGATGTTCTTTAGTCATATTACATCACCTGTATGCAGAGGACAATCCTTGTGGGAGTATATCACAGAGACTGAACAACCTCTTGTCCCTCATTCAATTGGATAGAAAATAGGTCAGTGTCTAATCATTCTGAACCAATTCTCCACTCTGTGCTAACCTAAGTTAATCCAATATGTCTGATAATATTCCCAGGAATCTTTTCCATGTAAGTCTCAGCAGTTTGAAGAACTGCTGCAGAGGAGATTCCTTTTTTTTTGTGAAAAATGTCAACCCGCATAATTCATCGATAAACTTTGGCCATTTGCTTGTGACAATTTCAGGTGGGTTTCTCTCTGGTTAAATCATGCTGTTGTTCTCAATTTTCTCATTGTTTATCACCATTGCCTGATATTCCCGTTGTGACTGATCGAAGAACATTTCAATATAGTACACGTTTACTCAACAAGTTGCTGCTGTGACACCTTTAGCTATAGTTTATGTTCTTAATAACATTTTGTGTTACTTCAAAGCGTGTCCTATTCCAACACTGCATGTTCATCAGAAGCCCTGGGCATAACTGTAAAATTAGCCAGGACAAAGAACAGATGGTGCTGCTTGGCCTGCTGTGTTCATCCAGCCCTGCACCTTGTTGTCTC